TCGATTTACATTAAAAGTGACCTGTCTATAGCACCCCCTCTCTATAGCATCCTATTTTGGTGAGTCGCAAAAGGGGGCGCTATAGACAGGTTTAACTATATATATAATATAGACAGTCTTCATTGGTAGCGCCCACCGCGGGAAAGACTCCGCCACCGATGGACTGGTAGAGTTCTTTCCCACATATTGGGCAGGTCGATGTGGTGGCTGGTGTTACCCAACTCAAGACCAAGATGGTACTCAGAGAGAGAAAGACAATTGACAATTAACAACTTTATTGACTTCTAGTCAATATCAAAATAATAAATTTACAGAAAAATACTTTGTTATTGTAATAAATATATTTACACCAGACTTCTCTGAAGGGACGTCGGGATCAGGTGTTCAAGCCGCCCTGAGTGTGGACCTTGCAGTAACAAGCTCACTAAAAAACTGGGGTTCAGCTGACCCGGCTGATAATACCCTGTAACGGCTCCTAAACCAGGGATGCAGGATGAGCAGTGTTTGTACTCCATGTTAGGAGCGGCTGCACATGGCGTCTTTTCCTCATGTCAGAGGTGGCCATGTCGGCCTGCCACTGAGTAGTGCTCCCAGTCTTAATGACAAAGGCAGACACATTCTACTTCACCCAGTCATGATGGTTGTCAAGACTCCCCACTATCATGCATCGGCCGTCACACAGTTGTATTGACAACATGATCAATGGCAATGTTGAGGAATTCGCACAGAATTTTCTTGTGTTCAGGCGAGAGTATCTCGAGGACACCCTTCCTCTCAGGGCGGTATAAACCCGCAGACATGATGTCTCAGAGAGAGGAGAGACCTACCTCTATATTGAAGATAGAGGTTGCCTGGTGGCCGGCATTCATTGTTTTTGAAGTAACAGACACTTCGGCCAGTAGATTTTTTACTTTTTTTCGACGTTTCAACATTTTTTTTCGAGCAGAAAAGATTTTTGTCGAAACGTTGAAAAAATTAAAAAACCTTCATGGCCAAAGTGTCTGTTAATTAACTCTATATTCTTGAAAATTTTAATCTGAATAGGTCAAATACATTTGGAGATTTTATTATCATCATTCTAACCTTGGAATGGATCTAATATCGTCTGATTAACTCCTAACTAAAATTTTGAATAGACTTCGTTTTCACTTATATCTTTGTACCTTGGTATGCGAAATTACAGCTCTAACCTTCTAATGACACAGAAATATATTTAATGTAAAACACTCTCTCTCTCCCCTTCTAAGAGGGAGGACGTCCTCGAGTACCTGTCACCTGAGCAGAGGTCTGTTCTGAAGCTATTCCTCGACATGGCAATAGTCAGGGAGATCTGTCCGATCTACGCGGAACGCTGTTCGATTTCAGGGCGGAATGTGACATCATACCAGACGACCAACAGTGGGATTCCTCTGATTAAAATAATATTTAATTTTACTTTTTTCTCTCCTACTAACCTTATATAATTCTATATGGACATTGTAATAAATCAGTACAGCTGGCCCTGCACGCTCTTCCCCATCCTGCACATCCGGCCTCTGCTCGAGAGACCTGTATCGCCTGTGGTTCTAGCGACCTGACCACCGCTACTGGTCCTGCAGCTCCATCAGGCCCATCATACGGGAGGCCTTCAACATCATACAGCCGACCTGCAGGGCTACTGGCTCTTCGGTCAAGGACTGGATGACGACACCACGTCTGCCAAGTCATCAATACACAGGTTCTTTCTGAGCCTTGAGATGAGGGGAGAACGTGACTTACTGTCTGGAGGAGAATTCTTTGTCTCCTGGACTTTACATAACTCTATATGGTTTACTCTTTTATTTTATCTTTCCCATATATATATACTAGCCGAATGACCCGGGCAACGCCCGTGATTTAATTTAGACACGTGGACCTGTTGGATCATTAACGCCCGTGTTTTACCCGAGAGATTGAATGTTTTTATTCGAATACTATTTGTTACAATTATAAATTGGCGCCTTAAATAAATGCATATATTAGTTAATAACTATAGCCTATGTGCTTTATCTCTCTATGTACTGTTGGCTTCCGTAGGCGTCTCTTACTGGGAAAAAGAAAGAGAGGATTCCATTTAGTTATTAACTAATATATGCATTTATTTAAGGAGCGACCCGCTATCTTCAGGGGCGCCCTAATGATAATAGTACTTACATATGTACATAAGTATGTATATATATATATATATACATTTTAATAGTACAAAAGCTACATACCTATACTTTCGATATTTGCGGACCTATAATGAGGTATTGTTAACAATAGATTATTTAAGGAGCGACCCGCTCCAACACAATAGTTACAAAAACACCAAAGCGAGTGGGGGGGGGGGGGGGGCAAAGGTGGCGTGATCGTAGCCAACCAATAGGAGGGCGCCATTCCAAAAAAAAAGGCAAACGGTGACAGAGGTGAATGATTAAGGGATGAAGAATATCGTATGTGTCGTGGTCGAATGGAAGGGCGCAAAGCGTTGTGCATGTATGCGTCAAAAAATAACTTGTTCCACACTCGTGAGCGCTGGCTCCCCCATTTATTTTGTACAGATTTATAGATGGAATAATTTGTATTCACATTTTAACATTCTAATTATGGTGAAAATAAATTTTATCTCTTGGGCATTTGGCAAATTATGACATATATATTTAATTATTCCTTTTTTATATATATTATTTTATAATATCACACCATTGACTTGTGTATAATGTCAATAAAATATTTTAAATCTCAAATCTCTCTCTACGTCCTCGAATACCAATCACCTGAGAAGAGGTCTGAAGCTATTCCTCGACATGGCAATAGTCGGGGAGATCTCTCCGACTTCAGGACGTGACATCATACCAGACGACCCTCAGTGGGATTCCTCTGATAAAAATAATATTTAATTTTACTCCACTTCTCCCATCCATATTTCCTTTTTTTTTTTCTTTCTTATATTTTTTTCTATTTTTTCTTATAATCTGTATATATTTACCATATGTATATAATCTTTCTTCATTTTTATTTCCCACTTTCATAGGTTTCTCCGTCTTGTAACCCCAAGGAGAATCCTCTGTATGACCTGTGTGTCTTAATAAAGGCTTTTGTGTGTGTGTGTGTATATTTAAATTTACTTTCTCCTATTGACCCTATATGACCTTATATTAAAAACAAAGTAGGCATATCTCCTGACCAGGAGCACATGTGCTTTTCAGAAGGCAGAGAGCCATCTGGTGGAACAGAAATCAACTAAACATTGATTTAACCTGTTCCCTGATATTTGGACAACACAATATCTTGATAAATCAAGAATAGCCATCCACGAACACATATAATATACGATTAATAAACGTATATTCAATCTCTCCCTCTCTCTTGAGGTAATCTGGATTCCTGGAGTCACGTACTAAAGTCGCATATGCAAAACAATTTTAAATTTATAAAATACAATAACAACAAAAACCTTTATTAAGACACTATTGTCTTACAAGGGGATTCCCCTAAAAGGTTATATATGTACATGAGTGAGGAGGAAAAGCAATTTAGAGGGGAGGGGGAGCAATCAGCCGTTGTCTGTGGAGTTGAGCACTTCTTCCCTCATTTTATCAATCGCCTTGAAAAATTTAAAATATTTATAAACAAATGTTTTATCCAGCAGGAGAGTAGTGAAGATTTTATATACATGTTGTTCATTGTAGTGAGTTAGCCCCGAAATTTCGCGAATTTCCAGTCTCTTTTCATGTAAGAATGGGCAATGGAATAGATAATTTATTAACTACAAGAGAAGCAATGAAGGAAGTTTACAGAGTTGAAAAATATCAAAATATCAAAATTAATAATCTGTTAGTAAAATAATAAATACTTGGCTACATAGCTCCTTCTCTATTGGGGCTGTGACCCACAACTTGCAAATATTGCTGACATGGAGCTGATGTACCTATGTCAAGGATTACCTTGGAATCTTGGAACTCTTTCCCTAGTAGCTTTGCATCCTTTCTTTTGCGACGTGAAGAGCGTTTGTCCATAGTTCATTTAAATTATCCATTCCATGAGTCTAACATCAGTATCTATATAAAAGGAAAACCGAAAAATGCAATATTGCCACAGAATCATTATTTTTGAATGCTCTGTTGTTTATCATCATCACCCGTTACCATGTTTTTAAATTACCACTTGTAAAATCAATTGACACATTTCGCAATATATAAGTTTAATTAATAAATTATTTTTAATTAAGTTTTTGGAATACTTTTCTCCTCTACAGTGACAATATAACAGTGGTATGGTAGATTAAACTGGCAAAACCGCTTGGAGTGTTCACCACTGATGAGACAGGCTCTCCCATTAATTTTTCATTGCAGTAAGGACAGTAGAAAATTGTTTAATTTGTAGAAGAATCATACGCGTTTTTAATAGTTTCGAATTCTCATAACAAATAGCGCTAATGTATCATAATGGGTCATTTTCAAGTCCGATATTATAATGTAAAAACTCCAAAATATGCAAATATTTTGTAATTTATCTAATATTAGTCTTTGGTTGGCTTATATGTTAATCAATATATTAGCTAACACCCCTACCCACATATTCTCATGTCCAGCAATGGCCGCAGATTTGCAGAAAATTGACATGGACCCAGAACAGCAGCTTTACACACCCAAGATAGAGGACATTGCTGCTGCTGTGATAGAGATGTACAGAGACATTTGAGGCTCTTCATTGGACACAACAACAATATATTAGCTATCATATTATGATGCATTAACGCGCCATCTGTTATGAAAATTCGAAACTATTATAGACGCGTATGATTCTTTTTAAAAATTAAACAATTTATACTGCCCTTACTGCAATGAATAATTAATGGGAGGGCCTGGCTCATCAGTGAGGAACCCTCCCAGCGGTTTCGCCAGTTTAATCTACCATACCGCGGTTATATTGCATTTTTCGGTTTTCCTTTTATAGTGATACTGATGCTAGACTCTTAGAATGGGTATTTTAAATGAACTTTTGTAGTCCAAAGTGGTCTAATGCCTAGGATATTTGGCTTTCACTTAGAAGGCCCGGGTTCAATTCCCGGAGTGGGAGTTTTTTCCGTGGTGTAATTGTTTACCCTTTTTTTTTTTTATGGTTGATATCTCTCTATAAATAAACGTCAACGTATGTTTATTTATTTGTTCCTTATATGTTTCCTCAATAATTAATCAATTTATTTGAAAATTTAGCAGGACATAGAGTTAAGTCTAGAAGAGATTTTTTCCCTCATTTTCAGCCAAGAAAAATTAAAATTAACAAAGAATTAAACTGATTTACTTAATGTTTAGTCAGAAAATGACTAGGATTTTTATTTATTTTTATTTGACATATCGGACGTGATATCCCAGCTTTGGATATTTGTGTCTAAATACATTTTATCAGCTTATATACAATTCATTTTATATGCAATTCAATAAACGAGACTAAAAGCAAAATTAAAACTGAAAGATTTGTTTTCTCAAACAGAAAATAAAATCTAAAATGAATTTACAAAAATTATTGAATTTTACATAGGTGTCTTTGTTATATACACATTTGCACATTTCTTCGATGGGATAAAAATGATTACTTCTGTAGCTGTGAAAGAATTAACATTCTATCAATAAATGTATTGATAATATTGCTGCGTCATGTTTGATGGGCAGAAACAAAACTCTTTGGGGAATATTCGCTCGACCAGAAAACGGGTGAAGCCATGTCATCTCTATATATTAAAGGAAAGTTTTTAAAAGTTCCCCACTTTTCTATTAAAACTACCAATTAAAAATTATATAAATGTAAACACGTATATGTATAGATGAAGAGATAGAGAGGGAGATTCAGTTTAAAATCAACATATATAGTCACGACCGTCTTTCCTCAATCAATTCCTCGTCACGGATGCGCGCGCATCATCATTATGATCATTATCATTATCTAATGATAATAATCATTATTATTATATTATTATTATTATTATCAACATATATAGTCACGACCGTCTTTCCTCAATTCCTCATGTCACGGATGCGCGCGCATCATCATTATGATCATCATCATTATCTAATGATAATAATAAAAATTATTATTATATTATTATTATTATTATTATCAACATATGAGCCCCTCAATGCACAGATTGATTAACTCCATAAATAATCGGGAAAAAAATGTTTAATTTTTGTTGAAAGTCTAAAAATCTATATGACATATAGATTTTTAGACTTTCAACAAAAATTAAACATTTTTTTCCCGATTATTTATGGAGTTAATCAATCTGTGCATTGAGGGGCTCATATATAGTCACGACCGTAATGGGCCGGCCGGCCGGTTCTGTCACGGGTGCGCGCGCATCATCATTATGATCATTATCATTATCTAATGATAATAATAATAATAATTATTATTATTATTATCAACATATATAGTCACGACCGTCATGGGCCGGCCGGCCGGCCGGTTCTGTCACGGATGCGCGCGCATCATCATTATGATCATTATCATTATCTAAAGATAATAATAATAATAATTATTATTATTATTATTATATTATTATTATTATTATTATCCATTCATTATATATATATAGTCACGACCGTCATGGGCCGGCCGGTTCTGTCACGGATGCGCGCGCACAGGGAGGTCACGTGCTCGCCGGCAGCCAACGGGCGCGCGCCGCCGGCATTACGTCATAGATTATAAACACAAGGTAATAAGGCCAAATAAAAAAATAGTGTGTGATAAGGCACAATTTGGATTATCTACTTATATAATTGCCTTATTCTCTTTGTGTGAAGTTCACTGTGTGAAGTTCACGGATAGATTTTGGTCAGAATGGATAAAATAAAAAAAGTGTCAAGGGATGGGAATCGAACCCACGACCTTCCGCTTACCAGGCAGATGCCATGACCACTAGGCTACCCTGGACATATTTTTCCGTTCACATTTTTATTTTTATATTTTCAAGACACACACAGTTTGGGGAGGGACGTTTCACAAGAGAGACATCCACGGCGCCAATTTATAATTGTAACGAATAGTATTTTAATTAAAACATTTTTAAAATATATACGCACTCGGGTATAACCCGGGCGTTGCCCGGGCCATTCGTCTAGTCAACATATATAGTCACGACCGTCTTTCCTCAATTCCTCATGTCACGGATGCGCGCGCATCATCATTATGATCATTATCTTCTATAGAAGCTTCTATCTTTATAATTATGTATATTTACAAAAAGTCAATTCGCTCGCGCCTCTAGCGGTGAAAATGAGGGGTAATACCAGCTGACCTAATGTACATGTAAAGTTTGGAGCGGGACGTTTCACAAGAGTGACATCCACGGCTCCAATTTATAATTGTAACAAATAGTATTGGAATAAAAACATTCAATCGGGTAAAACACGGGCGTTGCCCGGGTCATTCGTCTAGTATCAACATATATAGTCACGACCGTCTTTCCTCAATTCCTCATTGCTGTCACGGATGCGCGCGCATCATCATTATGATCATTATCATTATCTAATGATAATAATAATAATAATTATATTATTTTATTATTAATATATAATCACGACCGTCTTTCCTCAATTCCTCATCTCTGTCACGGATGCGCGCGCATCATCATTATGATCATTATCTTCTATAGAAGCTTCTATCTTTATAATTATGTATATTTACAAAAAGTCAATTCACTCACGCCTCTAGCGGTGAAAATGAGGGGTAATACCAGCTGACCTAATGTACATGTAAAGTTTGGAGCGGGACGTTTCACAAGAGTGACATGCACGGCTCCAATTTATAATTGTAACAAATAGTATTTGAATAAAAACATTCAATCGGGTAAAACACGGGCGTTGCCCGGGTCATTCGGCTAGTATCTATATATATAAGAATGAATGTTTGTATGTTTGTATGTCCGGTATACAAATTCGCAGTAGTTCACTAATTCGAACCAAAATTTCCATACATAGGTAAAAAATACGGGGAAGACGATAGGCTATTTTAAAATATATATAAATCAATTATTAAAACTATATATTCGAATTATTCTACTTAGCTCACGAACAGCGCCCTCTATCAAGTACTAAAAGGTTATAAATACGTTTAAAATCGAAATCTTCTCAATATTTTATTAATAATAGTTCGTTTAATAACACATACGTTTAGAATACTTGATCTAAATCGAAATATTTATAGACGCTCGCTCGATTTGAAGATTTATATATTTTAATTTTTAGATATAACTGATCTAATTCGCCGTTTAAAATAACTGCTCTAATTCGAAATATTTGGTATGTTTTATTTGTGTTCACTCTATTTCTATTTATTTGAAGTATTATAATTTCCATGTTTCAAAAACCTATTTCAAAAAAGGTCGTTAGAAATATGTAAGGCCTGAAATAGCTTTACATGCGAATATTAATTATGCCAAGCGTAGCTTAATGGTTAGGTGTACGGCTTCGTATTTCCACAACCTTCGTTCGAAACTTAGCCTGGGTGGTTTTTTTTTTTTATATATTATTGAAGCAAAGTTTTTTTTTTACTGTACCAAAATTTCCATACATAGATAAAAAAAAAAAATACGAGGAAAACGATAGGCTATTTTAATATAGGCTAAAATATTTAAAATATATAAGGTAAAATATATAAGCGATAGGCTAAATTAAATATTAAAACTATATATTCAAATTATTCTACTTAGCTCACGAACAGCACCCTCTATCAAGGTTATAAATACGTTTAAAATCGAAATCTTCTCAAAATTCTATTAATAATAGTTCACTTAATAATTAGAATACTTGATCTAAATCGAAATATTTATAGACGATCGCTCGATTTGAAGATTTATATCGTAACTAATCTGACTGAAATTTTAACAGTATATAGAGTAGAATCTGGAAAAACTTATAGTGAAATTTTCAGGTCTCTATCCCAAATATTCGTCGAGTTTGCCATTTTGCTCGCGAGCAGCGCCTCTAGCGGTGAAGATGGGAGGTAATATCAGCTGACCTAATGTACATGTAAAGTTTGGACGGGACGTTTCACAAGAGTGACATCCACGGCGCCAATTTATAATTGTAACGAATAATGTTTGAATAAAACATTTAATCGGGTAAACCCGGGCGTTGCCCGGGTCATTCGTCTAGTAGGCTATACAAAAAATTAAACCGATATTCACATACAGTGTACTCCGCTTATAACGAAGTCGCATTATCCATGACAATCACTTTGTTATATCCGAAGTTTGTTATATCCGCAGTTGGAAAAAAAATGTTTTGTACCAATAATTTTATTTACTATTCAACTCAAAAGAGCAACACAAAGATCAATAACAACCTCATCAGGTGTTTTTGGAGAAGTAGTTTGTGATTTTCTTTTGACATTTAGAAGTCAGTAACAAGTGCTGAACACTCTTTTCGATGTTGTCCAAGTCTGACAGATGCCTATGAAGAGACTTGGACTCATCCTGACATTGAAGAAACAATCGCAGAGTTTGAATGCTCTCCAAGACCTCTTTTGGATGCGGAATGTGGACAATTGGGTCTACTTCTTCATCAACTTGGTCCGTTTCTTCTTCTTCTTTTGCTTGAAGAATGCTCTCGACAATTTCTACATCGGATAACATGGCATTTGTAACGACGTCATTGTCAGCGTCAGCATAAGAATCGAAATCCATCTCTAACGGTATTTTTAAAACTTCTTTCATGCGATCGAAGAGGCTTTGTTGCTCCCACATTTGTGTTGCAGGCTGTGGTGTATCCAATGGAGAACTGACATCGGACTTAATAATTCCACTATGATGCCAACAGTTGGAAATTGTCGCTGGAAGCACATCATTCCATGCTACAGATATAATATCCACAGCTTGCTTAAGATTGATTGTTAATGCTGTTCCAGCATCGTATGCCGTCAAATATTTCCTCATTAAACGCGTTCGATAAATCATCTTGAAATTGCGAATAATGCCTTGGTCGCATGGTTGCAGCATTGAAGTGGTATTTGGCGGCAAGAATGCTATACGAGTATTTGTGAGGCCCTGCATGTCTGGGGGATGAGCGCCGCAATTGTCAAG